ACAAACGGTTTTCTTTACCCCAATAATAGTACAAGAAAAAGAATCTCGTTATAGTGAGCAAATTTTGCCAGTCCCCTGGCCCTTCATTATATCGAGGTTCCACCGTACCTCTTAACTTTTTAATCTATGGATGAAATTCTATGGTGTTACCATTCAAATGAAACCTCTGGCAGAACTTTTACATGGTACTGTATTTTCCTTATGATTTTACAATTTTTGTTCACAATTTTTTACTTTTGCCACCATTAGGAATTTAACGGTTTACGGCACTTATAGTGACAAAAGAGTAATATTTTACTGAACAAACAAATAGAGCTATTGTATTTTCAAATACAATTATATAAATAGACAGTTAGACAAACTGCCTCAATGTATGTGGCTTGACTGAAATTGCCACATTTTGCAGTCATAGCTCATCAGCTAAAAATAAAGAATATTATAAAGACAACATAAATTTCCAGAAGGGGCTGGGGATGGAAAACACAGAAAATTTTTATTTTAGCACCCAGTCTCTAATAGACCTCTAGTCCAGGAACTTTAAATCATAATGCTTAAACGTACCTGTAAAATTATGCTCATATTTGCATTTGCAATTGGGTTTGTATCAGGCACTTTTTTTACTAGATATCATTTCACTGTGTATATTATGACTTGTTTAGTTCTAGATCAGAGATGTCAGTCAAGGGTGCATTTCTTTACTAAAATCCAAATCCAGATTTTTAATGCGTAAATGGATATTTTGTTTCTTCAGGCTAAAATCCAAAAACGGATCATTGATCCAAATGATCCACAACTGAGGTGTATTNCTCCTGGGTCAGGTTATAGCAGGATGATTTATACAGTGGAACCTCGATTTAACGAGCCTATATATGGAGTGTTTTCACTCACCTGGCCAGCATCTAAGCAAATTTATTGGAACAAAATAAAGCGTTCGCATAAGAAAAGAGTTCAACTCCCAGAGGATTGGTTTGGGACACCAACATGGCCACAGTTTCATTGTTTTGGGACACCAATATGGCCGCCGTGACGTCATGTGAAAACACTCTATAAGGAAGTCCTCCGTATAACAAACGGTTTTCTTTACCCCAATAATAGTACAAGAAAAAGAATCTCGTCATAATGAGCAAATTTTGCCAGTCCCCTGGCCCTTCATTATATCGAGGTTCCACCGTACCTCTTAACTTTTTAATCTATGGATGAAATTCTATGGTGTTACCATTCAAATGAAACCTCTGGCAGAACTTTTACATGGTACTGTATTTTCCTTATGATTTTACAATTTTTGTTCACAATTTTTTACTTTTGCCACCATTAGGAATTTAACGGTTTACGGCACTTATAGTGACAAAAGAGTAATATTTTACTGAACAAACAAATAGAGCTATTGTATTTTCAAATACAATTATATAAATAGACAGTTAGACAAACTGCCTCAATGTATGTGGCTTGACTGAAATTGCCACATTTTGCAGTCATAGCTCATCAGCTAAAAATAAAGAATATTATAAAGACAACATAAATTTCCAGAAGGGGCTGGGGATGGAAAACACAGAAAATTTTTATTTTAGCACCCAGTCTCTAATAGACCTCTAGTCCAGGAACTTTAAATCATAATGCTTAAACGTACCTGTAAAATTATGCTCATATTTGCATTTGCAATTGGGTTTGTATCAGGCACTTTTTTTACTAGATATCATTTCACTGTGTATATTATGACTTGTTTAGTTCTAGATCAGAGATGTCAGTCAAGGGTGCATTTCTTTACTAAAATCCAAATCCAGATTTTTAATGCGTAAATGGATATTTTGTTTCTTCAGGCTAAAATCCAAAAACGGATCATTGATCCAAATGATCCACAACTGAGGTGTATTCTTTGGATCATGTCCAAAACCAGATACTTTGGATACATGATCAGAAGCGTTTCTTTACTACAGAGCCAAAAATAGTGAATATTGCCAGCAGTAACTCAAAACAATCTTAATACATCAGGTTTTTGACAAGACTGCTTATCTTTACAGCCATTTTTGAACCAGAGTCATGGATTAAACAATCAATTTTATCCGTTTTATTGAGGTGGTAAAATCGCAATACAAACAGGACCTGCATTATTCTAGTTACAAGGAAAAAACTGCTACAAAACTTTGCTGGCATGTCTTGAAGACTTTACTTTTCCAATACATACCTTATTTCAAGACTCATCTTCATTTGGCCTGTCTAAGCAGTATCCTAAAGCTAACCATCCAGAATACAATGAAAGATCATCAAACTTGCAACCTTGTCAGCAGCCGTGTTATACTTTCTCCGGGATACCATTGATATTGTGGGTCGTTCCTATGGAAATGAATGAAAAATAATCCCTTTCTGGATACATCATTTCTTTTCTCAACGAAAAATCCTAATGATCTGGATTTTTGATCTGATCTTGCATTTTAGTAAAGAAATGCACCCTAAATGTGGTAACATTAGAAAAGTGGCTAACATGTCCCTGATATTCTTAATCCATTTTTATGTCTTCTGTGGCCTACATGTATAACTGCATAGATGTGACATAATGGAACAGGAAAAAAAATCCATAACTTACCTCATAGCAGTTGACTGTGTGAAGACTTGTTCCAGTGTTTAAGTTATTTCCAAGTTATTAGATACAATTTTCCTTTTACTTTTTTTTCTTGACTTGTATCTCATCTCCTTCTACACTGATTTAAGACCTCCACCTCCTCTGACAATCTAGATTATTCTTTAGACATTAATTTCCAAAACTTTGAGCCAAGTTGGACAAAACAAAGGGAAATGTCAGCTGCATCTGCCTTCTAATAGATCATGGGTAACCACCAATCAGTACATATTATATTGTAAAAAAAGGATTATTTTAACAGTTCTGTGAGCACTGATGTAGCAATTTCCTTTTTTTCTTTTATTCATTTCTCTTCAATCATCATCCATAATACAATTTAAATGTAAGATGCAACCAATCAATAGTAAAAAAAATTAACTATCTACCAATACACTGTAGGTCTCTAATTTTTTCTTCACTGAATATTTACAGCATTTCATACGTACACCATGCACATGTAAATGTACATGTATCTAAAGAATAGGACCACAGTTATAATGGAGAAAATGCTCAGCACAACCAATACAAAAAATGATCTTGGAAGCTTTCTTTTTTTGTTTTTGAATACTAGGTCAAACCGATGACGCAAAACTAGACTTTTTCCCAAGAAATTACCATTTCATTTGGTGTGTCCTCAAGTCAAGTGTCCACATTAGAAAGATCACAGAGTCCATGTTACAGAAGTGAGGACTGTTTGAAGTAGAGAGTCTTTGGTGTCACTAGATTACTGTCTTCTTTTGGCCATAAAATTGGTTTCTTTTGGAGTCATTCAGCAAGTCCTTTCACATTAAGCTGTCATTTTAAGGCAAACAAGGAAAATTTAAGGAAAAATTTTTGCATTTCAGTGAAAGTTTTCTCAACACATAATTTACTTTCAAAATTTCATAATTTGTAGTTCAGTGATGAAGTGACAAGTCTCTCTTCACTTTCCAAATGTGTGGAAAGACAAATTGTGCGAGAGATGCTAGTTTTGAGGATTTTTCTACTAGTCTTGCATTCAGAATTCTATAGTGTAGTTTTTTCTACAAACTGTAACTGGCATTTTTGCTTGAAAGGGAAGTATACCCAGTAACTTTCATCTAGTCACTGAGAAGGAATGTTCTGTGGAATAGCGAGCTGCAGTGATTCCAACATATTCTCCAGTTCTCCTAGATTATCATCCTCCTGTGATTGGTTAGCATTCTGGTATCTCTCATTGATCTGTGCAGCAGCCCAGCCAGCATATTTCGAATTTACTTTCTTCACTTTTGAGTCTTTGGATGAATTAGCCAAATGGGCTGAAGCCATGAAGAATCCAAACAAAGCCCTCATGTTATTGTTGTCCAATTTGAGAGCTTGAGCGAAGTATTTTCTTGCCTTTTCCATGTTTTCATTTTTCCCAATGGTGTAGAGAATTTCAGCATACCTCTGGTGGAACAAATGGTTGTGAGGATTGACCAAGATCAACTCTTCCATGCAAAACTTTGCCTTCTCGTGTTCCTGCTGAGAGATGTAGAGCTCTGACAGCTCGGTCCACGCTTCTTGATCGCTCATGAACTTTTTTAAGTATTCATTAAGTTCCTTGACGGCTTCTGGGATCCTGTTTTGAGCTTTGAGGATCGCGACCAGCCTTTTGCGTACTAATGCATTGGCTGGCTCTGCTTCTAAAATCTTCTCGTAAATTTTCTCGGCATCCTCGTACTTTTCGAATGCTTCCAGTCGCATGGCATTGAGTTTCTCCACTCGAATACTATTGGGAAATTGAGTTTTGAGCTCTCTCAAACACATGGTCGCCAGGTCCATTTTGCGGCAGTCGATTGAGGCCAAGAAGACTTGCTCGTATATAGTCCATAACTCATCTCCTAGTTTATTACCGTGTTCTAGAATGAGACACTCACCGAGTTCCGTGACTTCTTCACTATTTCGAAGAGGTTCATCGCGCCATTGTCTCATTTTCTGGCGAGCAACTTCTAAATCAACCACCTCGTCGGCCATGTTGAACAAATATTTGACATGCGCATTAAAGAATTCGAATTTTCTCTAGGGTAGGGTAGAGCCAGGGATGGAGGGTAGAGTCTACCGTTTTGATCATCAATTGATCAAAATTTGACAAAAGGCAACATTTTTGTTACTACTAGAAAAATATAACGAGAAAAACAGAATGCAGGGCAATAACTCAGGGCTCTTACTAAAAAATGTACAATTTTTTTGTCGCTGTGAACGAGACTTTCGCTCCCTTCCCTAACTTCAACAAAAAATTTGGCCCATCGGAGACTGGTACGATAATGTCACTGAAAATAAATATGGCGTCTGGAGGTTCGTGATCAAAGCAACAACATCATCAAATCATCGCGCATTTCTGACCTAAAAACTCCAAAATTCGAGTTTCAAATTGAAGTTAAGAACCATGAATGTAATTTTAGCAGTAAAGCAATATGTCACTAAAATGATCGAGGACAGTGGACCAGGGATGAAAGTTCTTCTTATGGATAAGGAAACGGTAAGAGATCCCCATCCATAATCTGTCAAAAATAACATGATCACCCTTTGCTTAGATCTCCACTTTAAAATGTCCTTTTTTGCTTATATTGTAGATGATTTAAGAATGCAATAATTTACACAAGAAGTGGGATTTTGATTTCGATTGAATTGATTTGAATTGAATTTGAAATCTGTGTTATAAATACATGTAAGCTTACATGTACACTAATTAAGTCCAGGCTCTTACACACAAAAATTACACACAAGCGGACACTGCTGAGACCAGAGAGAACATTCCATCTAAGAGGAGAGGGATGTAAATATTTCAAAACCTGAAGTGAACAACACAATATTATTATTACTTGTGTGATCTTTGATATACACTCTGCCCCTTTATTTTAATACTCATGTAATTTTGCACTTGTTCCAGAGAAGAAATCTAAAACTAGAGCAAAAAAAATTGTCATAGAAAGAAATTAACAGAAAAGAAATCAAGTGTAAGTCTGAACTGGGAGTTAAAAATTTCACATGTAGTGAAATAATGATTTTCACGATAATTTTGATAATTTATTACATGTTACACCTTTTGCTGTTCATTACGAGAAAATACGCAATCATTTGCGTGAAATGGCGACCAATAGTGCGAAGATACATTCATTAGCGCGAAAATACGAACATTTGCGCATAAATCAGATTCAATTACCTTTTTTGCACTTTAATCAACATTCAATAACACTTTTGGGCATTGATAGGCGTCATTGGGCATACAAAAGAGAAAAATATACTTTCATTAACGACAACATCAAAGTTATTAACACCATTTTGAAAGTCAATAGGGGCAACTGACATACATTAAAGTGCAAATACTATTCATTAACATTTTTATGACACTCTTTGAAATTCAATAGCATTCCTGGACAACCTTAGGAAGGATAAGACAAACATTAATGCGCTTGTACAATCAATTGAGTGTTCTTTACATTTAATATACAAAAATCGATTTTCAATTAAACAATAGAAATTCACACAAATTTGGCCTGAATTTCAGTTCGCGAAATGTATATCCCTAAAAACCTCACTACTTAAACATTTTGGGAGGTAGGTTTGCATGAAATGGTACCCCTTAGCACATTTAGCTGCGATCAGAATGTCATGTTTCTGCGCAGAGCTTCAAGCACTGCAGTTCTTGTTTCTGAACTCCGCTAGTGGGATTGCTAGAGCGTTCCAGTTATACATCTTTAAATTTCCGGACTCGAGATGTCGGCCTTTGGTGTCGCTTTCAGACAACTTAAGGTGGCTCGACTGGATTTTTTGGTGGGGATACCTCCCAAGTTTGAGCATTAACTACGTCGCCACGAGTAAAGATATGGAAAAAAGATTACCACGACTGTATTATGTAAAGATGAAAATTTCTTATGATCTGGTTTTTATTGCAATCGGAGTCGCCATGGCAATGTAACGACGCCATTACGTTTTTTATTTATCTTCGTGTTTCTCTGTACCAAGAGTTTTTTTAAGAAATCGCTTAAGGGAGTTTGTACCTTCCATAATTGCCTCAATTATGGCAAAGTTTGAACAAATTCTATGAGAGCGTTTTCGAGATATTTTGAAACAAAGTTTTAAGCATCATAAAAGCAGTGAAATAGCATGCTATCCACACAATTAGCTAAATTTTTAAGAAAATGATAAGCTTTGGAAACGCGGCTTCATCTCATAGTGGTTTGATTCCATTGAAAACTGCGTACAAAAAAAGAGGAGAATTGCTCCGGGCGATCGCGAGTAAGAAGAATCTTAGTAACTTGCATTCAGCTGCTTTTGTTACAGTTTTTGCATGTAATTTGGTCCATGCCTACAATTTTCGCATTTTTCCAAAAACCGCTCGATAAATTTTTTTATAAACTTTGCAATCCAGAGATCAATCGTCTATAAATATACCCTGCAAGTTTTAATAATATTGAAAACAGAGAAGGCTTTCAAATAGGGCCTCAAATATAACCAATTTTACCCCCAGATTTTGTGTTTACAATTGAGCGTCCTCATTATTCACTGGCATTGTTTCCACGTTTCATATGCACGTGCCCATTTAGCAAAAAGATAGAATTTGCATCAAAAAGGACCCTCGGTTAAATCTCCCTAATATGCTAATAACCGGGTAAAGAAATTAGTGATATTTTATAACATCACAGCAACTCTTTGTAAGAGATTCTGTGACGTTATAACCCGAGTAAGGTAACTATTGCAAGTAAGTAAGTAAGTAGGTAAGTATTGCATCCTACACGATGAGCCGTGACGTTCGCCGTCTCGGCTCTCACTGCTATCTGTGACACAAGCCAATTATTAGCATATTCCGAAATTTCTTCCGAAAGTAATCGAGAGTTCTTTTTTATCCAAATTTATTTCTTTTTGCTAAATGTGCACGTGCATATGAAACTTGGAAACAATGCCAGTGAATAATGAGGACGCTCACTTGTAAACACAAAATCTGGGGGTAAAATTGGTTATATTTGAGGCCCTATTTAAAAGCCTTCCCTGTTTTCAATGTTCTTGAAACTTGCAGGGTATATTTATTGGCAATTGATCTCGGGATTGTCAAATTTATAAAAAAAATTATCGAGCGGTTTTTGGAAAAATGCGAAAATTGTAGGCATGGGCCAAATTACGTGCAAAAACTGTAACAAAAGCAGCTGAATGCAAGTTACTAAAATTCTTCTTACTCGCGATCGCCCCGAGCAATTCCCCTCTTTTCTTGTACGCAGTTTTCAATGGAATCAAACCACTATGAGATGAAGCCGTGTTTCCAAAGCTTATCATTTTCTTAAAAAATTAGCCAATTGTGTGGATAGCATTGTATTTCACTGTTTTTATGATGCTTAAAACTTTGTTTCAAAATATCTCGAAAACGCTCTCATAGAATTTGTTCAAACTTTGCCATAATTGAGGCAATTATGGCAGGTACAAACTCCCTTAAGCGATCTCTTTAAAAAACTCTTGGTACAGAGAAACACGAAGATAAATAAAAAACGTAATGGCGTCGTTACGTTGCTATGGCGACTCCGATTGCATTAAAACCCAGATCATAAGAAATTTTCATCTTTATATAATACAGTTGTGGTAATCTCTTTGCAATATCTTTACTTGTGGCGACTTAGTTAATGCTCAAACTTGGGAGGTATCCCCTCAAAAAAATCCAGTCGAGCCACCTTAAATCCTTTTCAACGATGTCGAGGGGGGAAGCATAAGCTGTGTACGTAAAGGGCGGGAATGGCCAAATCTAGGTGGGCTGGCACCCCGTCATATGCAAAGACCACCGACTTATCGGGATTCATTTTTTCCTCGCCCGTGCCAGAAAGTCACCGAAAAACTGACACTGTATTCATTACTCCAGCAGCTGCCGAAAGAAAAAATTTGATAGGTAATATGTATTGCCATGGTCATAGTCAAGTTTCGCCCTTGTTGGCCGCACACTTGGCGGTACGCCCTCCACTCCCTGTCGGGCCCCACCATGACTTCTGGCCGTCTAGGGTAAATGTAAATCCGCAGCCGTTGACGAACACACAGTGGCGAAGTACGGCGTGATTCTTTAAACAAATTCAGGCCAATTTTGGGGGGGATTGGTTTTGTTTCATTGAAAATATATTTTTGTGTATTAAATGTAAAGAACGCTCANAAATTTCCGGACTCGAGATGTCGGCCTTTGGTGTCGCTTTCAGACAACTTAAATCCTTTTCAACGATGTCGAGGGGGGAAGCATAAGCTGTGTACGTAAAGGGCGGGAATGGCCAAATCTAGGTGGGCTGGCACCCCGTCATACGCAAAGACCACCGACTTATCGGGATTCATTTTTTCCTTGCCCGTGCCAGAAAGTCACCGAAAAACTGACACTGTATTCATTACTCTAGCAGCTGCGGAAAGAAAAAATTTGATAGGTAATATGTATTGCCATGGTCATAGTCAAGTTTCGCCCTTGTTGGCCGCACACTTGGCGGTACGCCCTCCACTCCCTGTCGAGCCCCACCATGACTTCTGGCCGTCTAGGGTAAATGTAAATCCGCAGCCGTCGACGAACACACAGTGGCGAAGTACGGCGTGATTCTTTAAACAAATTCAGGCCAATTTTGGGGGGGATTGGTTTTGTTTCATTGAAAATATATTTTTGTGTATTAAATGTAAAGAACGCTCAGTTGATTGTACAAGCGAATTAATGTTTGTCTTATCCATTCTAAAGCTGTCCAGGAATGTTATTGAATTGCAAACAGTGTCATAAAAATGTTAATGAATAGCGTTTGCTCTTAAATGTTTGTCTATTGTCCCTACTGATTTTTAAGATAATGTTAATGACTCGAATGTTGGCGTTAATGAAAGTATATTTTCCTCTTTTGTATGTCAAATGACGGAAATGAATGCCCAAAAATGTTATTGAATGTTGATTAAAATGCAAAAATCGTAATTGAGTCTGATTTATGCGCAAATGTTCGCTTTTTCACGGTAATGAATGTATCTTCGCGCTGTTGGTCGCCGTTTCACGCAAATGAATGCGTATTTTCTTGTAATGAACAGCAAAAGGTGTATTTATTATTTCATTCATATTTTTTCTTCTTTTGTCAAAGACTGGAGTTGTGAGCATGGTATATACTCAAAGTGAAGTTTTACAGAAGGAAGTTTATCTTTTTGAAAGAATTGATACTAGTGGACGGGAAACGATGAAACATCTGAAAGCAATATGTTTCCTACGACCAACAAGAGTAAGTTGCCAAAGTTTCCTTTTGCTGGAGAAGGATGTGATCACCAGATGATGTAAGACAGAAGATTGAAAAGATATCAAATATTAAATTCCCACGTCACTACAACACAATAGCTAGCCAATAATGTTTTCTGCAGCACCAAGAAACATCTAAAATGATTAAATGAAGCAGCCCTGGGCTTATCTTCATAGGGACTCAGGACGCACAGGTAGCAAAATCTCTGTTAAATACATTTGAAGAAGGCTTATAAATGCATGTATTCTTTGTTTACAGGTAGGTGGGCCTTTAACTGGGGGGGGTGGGAGGGAGGGCACTTATGACTAGGGGGCTTACAGGGTCGTCATTAGGGGCCAAGGGGCCTTTTTCTTCGGCTATCATAAACATGACCCCACCTACTTTTGTAGGAAAATAGAAGAAAAATAGAACCAAACAAAATCCCTAGTTCTTGGATTCCCCACCTACTTGTATCATTGATATAGCCCCGCAACTTGAAATTTTAATGACAGCCCTGGGCTTATAAGCACTGGCATTATGGTTGGGTATGAGTGATTTTGACACTGACACTGTGTCATTATGATGAAGTGATGCAGAAAATTAAGATGTGACTTGTTAATATTTATAAGCACTTTCTGTTTATTCCTTTTAGGAGAATGTTGAGCATCTTTGCAGTGAACTGAAAAATCCCAAGTATGGGGTATATTATTTGTGTAAGTGTATATTTCATTTGATACAAGATCATGCATTATAATCAAACACTTCTGATAAATACTCTTAGAATTTATTTCGGAAAAGTGTCTAAAACATGGTTCGTATATTTTAAACAACTGTCAGCACTATATAACATAAGATTTATTTCTTACACAGTCCAGAACTGAATATAACCATAGTAAATTATTGATTTGCATTCTTTAGATTTCTCCAATTTCATTGGCAAGCCAAATATTCGTGCTATCGCAGAAGCTGATGACCACGAAGTTGTCAGAGAAGTACAGGTAAACATCTGTTGGTGATTTTTGCAGGAGTATACGTGGTTAAGTTTACGACTACCCAGGGGTTTCAATAAGCACCAATGGCTGTCGAAATGTGTCGGCTACTTTGCTCATAGAAGTTGGCTCCTTTTTCCTAGAAAAAAGAAGCAACTAGTTTGAATAACGTTACAAACCAAAAATATATCATTAAATCTGAATGAAAACCTTAATTATGATGTACTTTCATGAAGGCTCCTTGGTTTAATGTTATATTTTCGTCATGAGAACACTATATTTCAGTCAATTTTTCACACTTTTACGCTGAATTTGTGTCTGAGCAAAAGTGTGTAATTTAGTTTTCATATTTGTTCATTGCTCGAGGAATTTATTGTGAAACTGATAAATCGAAAGTTGAATGGAAGCTACATTTTCTTGAATAAAAAACAAACTCTTGTTTTCTCAATTTAGTCCCCGGAACTCTAAAATTTGCATTTTAGGGCTTTGAAATTTCAAAATTTTCTGGGGAAGCACGCCCCCAGATCCCCTCCCCCCTAGAAAAAGGGGACTAACGGCCCCTTGTTGATACAGTTGGTTACTCTATTCAAACCTGCTGGCTACTTCAATTTTCATTGAAACCCCTGACTACCCATTATTACTGTACATGGTTAACTACACTTAAATGTATGTTGAAATGTAGTGGAAGGTACGGGCTTTTTTTCAAGAGAGCAAGGGTATGTACTCACAAGGGGAACACTTTTTAATCCAATTTGAGGTCATAAATGGTCATCTACATATACATAAATCTTGGTTACAAATAGACTGTTCACAGTCCTCTTCTTTTTTTTTGTGAGATCTTCGAGATATAGTGCGTCTTACTGTTAATGGCAGCCATCTTGATTTTCAAATGTACCTAGGGGGCAGGCATCAGGGATTATAGCTGTAATAACATCACTGCAGCTTGCATTCACAGAGCACGTTGTACCAGCAACGGAGGCATTTGATTGGTCATTAGTCAATAGAGTTAATTTTCATTGACTTAAGTTGCCGACACTGACAAGTCGTTGACAAGTCATTGACAAGTCGTCGTTTCTACAAAACGTATGCTTTCATTGTACAGTGCTAAACGCATGAAGGTATTTTGGGGATGAATCACGTAAGCCAATGCGCTCTTGAAGCAGCCTAGCCAGGGGAATGTTGTAACACAGTTCTGCCTAAAGTAACCTGTCAGAAGTGCCTGGCTTTTTATGGGGAGGTTTAACCATTTTAATCTGTGGTGAAGTGATCATGCTTAGTGCTTCCATTAGGAAAATGTTTCACCTGAGCATGTTTGCTGATTTTACTTGGAGGAATGTCCTAGAAACTGCATAGAACCACTGTTTGGAAAGGAGATTTGTAAACACATGAAATCGATGCTAAATGTGTCTGGCATGTTTTTCATAGCCAGCGGAGTTTCTTAATTAATGAATGGTAAAAGGCATGAAATTCCTGTCATGCCTCCTGAACGTGAGCTGCAGTGATGTTATTACAGTCCCTCTATTTTTCTTGCTTCCTCCCAAAACTGCCCCTTGTCCCCTAAGTAGCTTTGACACTCGTGCAAGATGGCAGCATGTAACACAAAGCGCTCAATCTCGACAATCTTACGGAAAAATTGGGGACTGTGAACAGTCTATTACAAAGGATATCTTTTGATTCAATAGGATTTTTTCCGTATTATTTACCAAAATTAGTAACAAAGTGGTTGAATCAGTTCTTTTTCTTTTACTTTTACAGGAATTTTACTCTGATTTTTATGCTGTTAGCCCTCATGTGTTTACTCTGAACCTTCCAAATTGTTCACGGGTAAGTAATTTATACATCTATTTATAACTAGGTTTTTCCTGGTTATATGTTCAATTAATTGGTCCATAAACCCTCATAATTGTTTCCCACTTTCTAGATGTCAGTTAGATTTACAGCTAACAGTCAAGGGCACCTCAACAAAATATATAATTTAAAAGCTTGCTTGTCAAAAAATGTACAATAAAAATGTCTCATCCTAGCAGAGTAGTAGGAGATCTAGAGTTTCGTAGATAAAAAAGGGCAATAAGTTCCTTTACCCTGATTTTTTTAAAGTTTTTTAGTGCTCTTCTAATTTTTCTTTTAAGTACTAATTTTTTTCTGACATCTTCTTTTGTTCATCTATATATTTTCAGGAATGTTATACCCTTTTAAATCAAATTATTCATTATTTTTGTGGAGTTTTCACACGATTGTTAAGCATTAATTTTTACCTAACCTTTCAAGTAACTTGGAATTGTTATTAAAATAAAATACTGTTTCAGGCTGGAGCATGGGATATAGATGCTATCGACCGTGCATGTCAGGGGATATTGGCCGTGTTACTCTCATTAAAGAAATGTCCAATAATTAGATACCAGAATTCATCTGAGATGGCTAAGAGACTAGCTGAGAATATAAGGGTAGGTATATATTTGTCATGTGTATTTTGTTGTGTCACTGTCAGGAAATCATTATGGTCTACCCTTGCATCAGCCTGTGAGAAAGAAAAACAGGCTCGGAATATATTAAACAACTGACATTTACTGTATTGTTGATAATAGACTTTATGGTTAATATAAAATAGACAATCATGTGCTTTATTTTAATTTTTTAATGTTATTTTCAGCATAAAATAAACGATGAAGCACAATTGTTTGACTTCAGGAGAACGGATGTCCCTCCTCTTTTGTTGATTTTGGACAGACGAGATGATCCCGTGACCCCATTATTGAATCAAGTAAGTTCCAAATGTGACTAGTATATCACTGCATGTACCTTTAACTTCATTTGCCCAGTTGACACAGCATGCTCCAAAGTATATGAGTGGCATAATGTGTGGTCCCAGAAAATATCCATACTCCCCACAGAAGGGATTGGAGATTCTTGGGGGGTGGTGGGAGGGGGAGGGGTGTCTAGGACAACTAGATTTTCCCACTGGGATGGTAACTTTGTGTGTTCACTTACTCAATGAACATCCTTGCTAGAGGAGGCCTAGCTCTTTTCCCTGGTATTCTGTTGGTGGGAGGAAAAGACTGATGATCACTCAGATGTTTTCCTCCCGCCTGTCAAACGCCAAGGAAAGGACAGGCCTTTGCTAACAAGGAACCAATGAGCAAGGATCAGGTAAGTTATCTTCCAGCTAATTCGTAAAGAGACTCATTTAGTGACTTCAGCAAGCTATAAGCTAGAATGACTTGACCAAAGGGTCAAGGTGGCATTCAAGTTTTTTCATACCTTGTTTTGAATTTTTCTTAGACCTGACTATTTAACAATTATTATTCCTCAAGCCTGAATTGGCTATGAGTCAATAGCCCATGAGGCCGAAGGCCAAATGGGCTATTGACTCAGAGGCCATGAGGGCGAGAGGAATAATATTCTTTTAGTGAAATCCAACTGCTTGGTCAAAAATATCGAGACAAAACAACTTTAGCTAGTTAAAGCTAGACTTTAAACCTTTTTTGCCGCCAAAAAGCTGGCGCTTTGCACTACTAGTGGGCTATAACATATAGCCTAGTAGTAACTCAACCACGATACTAGTGGGCTATAACACATAGCCTAGTAGTAGCTCAACCAATCAGGACACAGCATTGATAACAGACCACTAGTTGGATTTTACTTAATCAATAGACAGTTCACTTTTCTGGTAGTTTCTTGGTGTTGCGGACGGATGCAATCACCAAATGACTTTAAAAAGATACTGAACAATGCCTGCACCACAACACAAAAGCGAACCAACAATAGTTTCTGCAACACTGAAAGACACCCACTTTTCCCTGAAAAAATTGTTAACCCTTTAAGCCCCACTATCCACATACAAATTCTCCAAACTGATCTCGATACATTTCCTTAAGGAATCAGTTGAGAGAATTTGATGATAGATCAGGGCATTTTCTCTCAGGTGATCATTTTATAAATTCTCATAACTTATCTCTTGACAGTGTATGGATATTGTTAGGAGAAAATTGATCTTGGTCACTATTGGGACTTAAAGGATTAATTCTGGCCCTGTTGAGTCAGTAGCAGTGATATTATTCTGTGTAAATGTTTGGTTCTCACAAGTAAACATTTTGAAGTTTCCTCATTCGCTGTTTGGTTCTTGATTTCTTGTAATATTATATTATATTAGTGGACGTATCAAGCGATGGTTCACGAGCTGATTGGTATTAGAAATAACAGAGTTGACATGTCAAGGTGTCCTGGTATTTCCAAGGAGCTACAGGTATTGGCCATTACAGTTATTAAGTTTGAGCTATCGGAGCTGGTGACTGGTCTCCTCTTAAAGTAGGAATACAATTTTGAGCGGCCCTTCCCCTTAACCCTTTAAGCCCCAAGATCCACATACAAATTCTCCAGACTGATCTGCATACATTTCTTTTAAGAACAGTTGAGAGAATTTGGTTTAAGATCAAAGCATTCTCCCTTTGGTAATCAATTTAGTAATTCTCATAACCTTTACTCTTGATGATCTGCTGATGTTGTTAGGAGAAAATTGATGTTGGTAACTCTTGGCACCTAAAGGGATAAAATTTGGTATCGTTATTTCACCTAAGTGGACAAACTCCAAACAAGATTGAGTTGTAACACCAATTCATTACTCAGGGACAAGTTAGCGAGTTTATTGTAAAAACCGTTTGAGTTAAAGGCAGATTTCTGTAAAGCAAGAAGCAAAAGATCAAACGACAACTGCCGATCATATTTTAGAAAAGAGAGATAATTCAGAACTCTACATGCTTTGATATTACAGTGAAACCCAGTTACCGAGACCACTTAATGGCCATTAAAACCTGGAAACATTAAGGAGGAGGTCGCAATAACAAGGCGGTCGTATTAACAAGAAGGGTTTCAGTCAAGAAATTGACTGATGATTCTTTTTTGTGCGTTTGGGCTAAAATAACGTACTGTAAATGACCCAATAATCGCCGGGAGCGTCTTTAATCCTGGGAGCCTAAGACAAGCGGGAGCGTTTAATGGATAGGAGGCGTTTATTGTCATAACTGCAACAAACTCCACAAAACTAACATGCTTTCGGCAAATATATCAGAGCACTGTAAATAAATAGCAAATCATCCAGTACATCCATTGGTACGTCGAGGCCGTTTAGAGATCAGTTTGTCAGAATCCTTACTTTGAATTTGCCATTAGACAGGATTCAATGCGCGAACTCTTGTTAATCAAACAAGAAACTGAATGAATTGAATGATTTTACCCTGTCATACAGGTCGTCTATTTTACACGGGGTGTTTATCAGAGGGGAGTCTAATAAGAGGGCGTTTATTAGACAAGAGGCGTTCATTTGAGAAATGGTGTCTATGAGATCATTTACGGTAGTAAGATGTAATAGTGAGGTAGTCGCATAATCGGGTTGGTCCCAAAGCAGCCTGGTTTTGCTTTAATTTCTTGTCTAACTTTAATTTAATCTTAACGCAAACCTGTGACAGTCTCATACATTCATTTGATGAAAATATGACCAACCCAGTTTCTTTTGTTTCCCTGAGTTTGCTGTACATTTACCTAGTGCAGCATCAGTTTGTTTTTCCTATTCATTCTCTTTCTTATCTTTTTGCTTACGAATTTGACAGGAAGTTGTTTTGTCAGCAGAACATGACGAGTTTTACCAAAAGGTAAGTTTATAGACTACAAAGCCGACACCACGCAGATATATATTTAATTAAGTCATTTTTTCTTAACCCTGGGAAGCTGACTCGCCAATACAGCACCTCAACACAGTCTGCTCATTCTTAATCGACACCTCTATTAGACGGACACGAACGGACTTCTAATATAGAGTTGTTACAAGTTGACTTTATCTCCTTTTCTTCTCCTTTTTTTAAACAGAACTTGTATTTGAATTTTGGAGAAATTGGTCAAAACATTAAAACCCTGATGACAGAATTTCAGCGAACTGTGAAGAGTAATCAACAACTGGAGTCCATCTCCGACATGAAAGTAAGATCAGTTTAATCTTTGCCAAATCCTTTCATGCTGATTTACTTTGTTCTTCCACCGAGTTTCTCCCCGTACCATTGTTGACTGTTTGAACATTCTCGTTGTTCGTTTTCTTAGTTCTTCTCTTCATCGTTACAGTTAGAGTCAAAAATTGAGTTTGAGTCAACAGTTTGTTTAGGTGGTGGTCATTGTTTTCATGCGTTTAAATGCAATTTAAAGGAGTTAACAACTAAGAGCGCCTTAGGGGGCTGAGGTCAGCGGTCTTTGGCATGCGCATGCCCAGTAGCTGGCTACATCGATCATGTGATTCATTGGCGCGTTCAGTTTTCCTTCGTGCTAGGTTCTGCCAACCGAATCGCAGCACTTCACTTACGTTTTGACCGAAGTTTTGATTACTTCTCGGTATAAAAGTGGGACTAGAAGCAGTAGTGTAATTTTTGAAAATCGAAAGGGCAAGTTTCGTTCAGACCGTGCCATTTATAATTCGAAAGAAATTTCAGAACTAGGACTTGAAATTTTGGCTTAATGGAAAACACCCTAAGTAATCTTTCTCAGAAGAATCAAATCAATCAATAGAAGGGTTTGGTTAAAAACGCACCATTGAATACTGTTGTGTAGCAGAGTTAAAGACCATCAGAGTACTTTCCTTCATGTAGTTCTACCTGTTATGATGTTCAAGAAGGCTCTACCTTATTGAATCTCAAATGGATGAAATCTTCGGTTGATCAACTAAACGGGAAGTTTAAGGGCTGTTCTTGTTCTTAGCTTCGTTAGATTTTGTCAGGTTTTAAAACCGACGGCTTGTGATGTGTTGCTTGCGGTAATTTTATGCTTTTGTAACTTTTGCAAGGCTGACTACAATCCTGGACAAAAGTCCTTGGGACAGTAATGCAGTATTCATAATTTTCTGTAATTTCTGGGTTCTGCCATAAAATAGTGCATCCTTCTCGAAAATTGCTTGCAGTTCTCCCCCCCCCCCCCCCCCCCTTTTTTTGTGTTTTTAAACTTTGAAAGGTGGAGACAAAATCTGAGAAAAATTCCCGTGGGAAGTAAGAAGTTTTTCAATATTTTTGTGAATTTCTGGGTTTCGCCCAAAAAAAGGGCACCCTCTCCCAAAATTGCTTGCGATTTTTCCCCCCCCCCCCCCACCCTACACTAAATTGAAACTCGGAAAAGATTCTGGATACAAGCATCCAAAGTTTTTTGTGGGGCGGGGCTGAAGAAGGGGTTGGGTATTGAAAAAAGGGGGGTGGGAATTGAAAAAAGCTCCACAAATGCAAATTTGTCCCGAGACTTTTGTTCTTTTTTGTAGGTGTAATTGTGCTGATCGTGTTGTCTGCTTAACAGGCCTTCGTGGAAAACTATCCGCAGTTCAAGAAAATGTCAGGAACCGTTTCTAAACACGTGACTATTGTGGGCGAGTTATCTCGTCTGGTCACCGAAAAATCGCTTCTAGATGTCTCCGAAGTCGAACAAGACCTAGCTTGTCAGAATGACCACTCTTCTGCTCTCCAGGCAAGTATTTCTATAACCGTCATTTAAACTCCTAGACAGTCCTTCAGACTTTTTTTGCAACTCCACAGATCTTGCTCAGGATAATTTCAGATCTGGGTCAGACTAACTGCGCTTTTCCTAGCCTGCGTGGCAGGCGTCGAAAGGGGTACGCTTTTCCACAAACATGCGAATTCTGAAGTTCAAAAGCCAACTGACGATTGCGTTTTTCGCTGCCGTCAATCATCTTAACGGACCTCTTAGGAAACAAAACTTTATTTTAACAGGTTCAAAAGGTCATGGATTGTGATTTCTGATTGGTGGATTTCGATCCGTTTTGTGAGTTTCTGTGTTTCAAGGTCCGTTGCTTGTGATCGTAATTATGATTGACGACAGCGAAAAGCGCAGTAAACAGTTTGCCTCTCCTGGTTACTTGACAGAACCTTTATGTCGTTAGTGATTTTTGACATTTTTAAAAGTGTCCGCCAATTTGGTTGTTTGCGAAGTTTGACAATATGAACTCAGGGGAGAAACAAACGCGTGAAAAGCTAAAAACTAAAATTAGTTTATCACCAATTATCCACTTTCGCAGAGCCGGATAGTTGATACAGATGGTAGGCAAAGTGGTTATAAATAATAGGTTTGTGGCCCAACAGGCTTAGCAGTACCCTTGGTCGGTACCAGAGGTTTTTTGTCGTGTTCGGCGATTGAGTGCGGCGAAGATGCTTCGGAGATGGGTCACTAGAAATGGAGAGCTTTAGATTCGAGGACGAGGACGACTGCGAGCACGATACCAAGTTAGCCTCCTCCTCAGGCGCTTCGTTTTTCGCAAGGTGGTGCCGAGCGACTGGTGATGAGCCGCAAGGGACCATGGGAAGGTTACATTGTCTCCTTCCCGCCTTCCTTTGCGCGCGAGAGAGAGACGTCTGGGTACGAGGCAGATACTAAGTATTGCGCGCGCGTGAGTTGGCGGGAAAACGTGATAGCCGTCGTCATTCTACGACTGGTTTTGTAGCGGCAACAAGTTATCAAATGTGAGAAGTTTTATCATTTTGCTATCGGGAGAGGGCTTAACCTGCTTCAGTGTAAATAACCATACTAACCTTTTTGGTGGAAAAAAGTAAAATGAAGCTTTCCGGGGTGGCTTTTTTTTTAAAACACGCGCAAAAACGTTAAGTTAAATCTCGTACTGGTACTCGTTCTCGTCCAAAAATCTAAAGCTCTCTCTTACTTGACCGAAACCGAAAACCGCGTATGAAAAGTCTCTGGAACCCAGGGTAGCTTGGTAGTTGAAACTGTCATCAACTTTCATAAGCGTTTTAGACACCTATGGCGTAAAACTCAACTGGCCGCAATCTTGTGCGATGTCGCAACCTTTGTGTCTGCATTACCATGTTGTACTATTCAGACGGCTGTCCTGATTTGAGTTATTATTGTCTTAGAGTATTCGTCGTCTGCTGGCTAACGATAACGTGACTGAACTTGATATGATGAGAGCCGTGTCCCTGTACGCGCTGCGCTACGAAAAACACAGCAGTAATGACGTTGGTGGCTTGTTAAACGTGCTATCCAGACGAGGAGTCAGCGAGCACTATAAGAAGGTAGTAAGTTTTATTACGTCCTTGACTGTTGTTTTATGGAATGCGCATGAGCATTGCATCGGTTAGTACTCCCTATATATGGGTGTGGCTTTTGAGCGGTTTTGGTCCGAAAGTAGGTAGACATTTAAGTGTCAGATCTGAAATGGGTATCGATGTTTAAGCTTAAATGTTAGGGTCATGTGTGAAAAACCGTGGGCAGGGTTAGCGTAACTCATTCACTTATTCCTTGGAGAAAACCCCATGGTTTTTTGAAAATGGCCTATTACATGGTCGGGGGACTGGTCCCTAGGTAAGACTAGTCCAAGCCTCCTCAAAGTAGAAAGGGTATCTCTCTTTTAGTAAAATCCAACTAGTGGTCTATTATCGATGCTGCGTTCTGATTGGTTGAGCTACTACTAGGCTATATGTTATAGCCCACTAGTGGCGAAAAGCGCCGGCTTTTTGGCGGCAAAAATCTAGCTTTAACTAGCTAAAGTTTTTTTGTCTCGATATTTTTGACCAACTGGTTGGATTTTACTAAAAAAAATTATTCCTCTCGCCCTCATGGCCTCTGAGTCACTAACCCATTCGGCCTTCGGCCTCACGGGCTATTGACGCAAAGCCCATTCGGGCTCGAGGAATAATTGTTAATTATATTCGATTGTTACTTAAATGATAAGATAAGACAGGAACCGAATTTATCTGACAAAGAAGTGTTTCTTTTATTAGACACAAACCCCGGACATGGATATGTCCTAACACTCCACAAAACACCTTTACGTGCTCTGCTTATTATGTACATAGTTAATTCACGTGTAGCTTTCCTCACTGTTTCTGTTTATAAATTTCGATAACGTTTCTTCATATGTATGCAAGTCATGTCTCACTTTTTATGCAGTATGCTACGCTGTAACACGCAATAATTTCGTTCTTTTTTTTTCATATCCACGCGACCTGGTTTGAAATTAAATGCCGCGCGCTGTAGAACTTACTTGTTTATGGTAACATTGGCTAATTCTGTATGCTAGGTATTGCCAAATCGACCCCTCAGATCACTTAAAATTTAGCAGTAATTTATGTAGATTTAAATTGAAATAGGTTTCTTTCATGAATATCCCTTTCATCGGAGATTTTTTTTCTAGACTCTCCAGATTTAACAACAGTTTTACCCGAGTACGTTTTCTTAAATTAGCAATTAAATTTTTTTTCTCGTGATGTATTTAAGATTTTAAAAACTGCCTTTTTTGATAATATACAACTACTTGGTAAATGATGATAGGATTCCTTGCTCCTTTAGAAACCAATATTTGCAATTTCCATCTCGACCAATGTAGGCTATATTTAGGTCTTTGATGATTAACAATATTCAAGTGAAATGGATGTCTTCTACTCTCTATCAAGGATTTTATCGAAGAATGTATATCGAGAACGTATTTTCTAGTAACTTAAGGCGAATCTATTTCCGCCGCGCGATTTCACTAGTACACTTGTCGTGCAAATTAGTAAATGAATGAGAATGATCGAATGTGAGTTTTAGGCTTGTTTGCTTTACTGTTAGAGTTTTTAATTTTTAGTAATTTTCGTTCTTGAAGAAGTGCGGAGAAAATGTCGAAAACGATGTTTTTGCTACAAGAAAAAAAATTGTCTCGAAATGAAATAGTGTACGTTTTTGTCTAGAGAATAATTTACCATTCGTAAAACATAAAAAAAAATAGTGCTCCAGCAGTTGAATGCATCTTAACCGATCTTCTTACTAGGTCAGTCTTTTCATAGATTTCGTACACCTTTGTGTAATTGTAGTCCTTTCATCGTCAAGTCCATTGTAACCTTTTACTGCCTTTAAGCTAATGCTTGGTTTTATCCAGGGAACGTTGAGGCAGCCGTGAATGTTAATTGCTGTGGGTATTTTTTTCTCCGCCAGGCAAGATAATTTAGATAAGAGAAGCGGAACTAATCTAAGGAAATCTTCTCTTCCACTGTAGTCAGAAACAAACGCGGAGGCATCACTCCTAGATGAAGTTCTACTGATCGCTCTTTTGCCTTTTTGCGGTTGATGGCTGTATGTAAATTGGCTCCAACCTTTTGTCTTTGAATCAAAACCTGAATTGTGACCGTTGAATTGAAAGAGAGTGAACAGTACTTTCCTGTGGTACCGTTTTTTATGCCCTTCAAGGTGGCCCTGACTTGCGAGTTTGTGGATAGTCCTAAAGTGACCGTCTCAATGAAAGCTGCTAAATAGCTCTTTTCTTTGATGTGGTTCATTACGCTGTTCAGAAGGCGTTGTGGTCGTAACTGCCGATTCTGTATTTGACACCTTTAAATGTTATTATCAAAAGAAAGACTTCACTTTCCTGTAACATTGTCAGTCATTCCCTTAGTCTTGTGTGTGGAATGGTATCCCTTACCTTATTATCATTATTACCTTATAGTCAGAATTTTCTTGGGCGCTATCTATCACGCCGTTTGTCTTTAAACCCCTACATTTTTTATTATTTTTCTTTTTTAAACTTGGAAGCTTCAGTTTGGCCGAGCCTAAAAAGTATGAAAGTTAATCGCCCTTTCTTGTCGTTCTTCCTTTTCTTTTCCTTCCATTGCAAATTTCAGTTCATTCTTTCAAAACAGTCCACTCTATTTTATAAACTTCCACTAAGAACTTCACCTTAACTTTCTTGTTCTAGGCAACATCAGAATGAGTTTCTGGCAACATACAAAGGCTTAAAAGACTTAAGATAAGACTTTGTTGCCTTTTTAAACTAGGCTAATCCAATGTCAAAGACCGGATTACAAAACGTCTACAAAGTACTAAGTGTACTAAATACTAAGAAAAGGACTGTCTATACTAGTGTTTTATCAAGTTTAAAACAGGATGCGCTTCCCCCGATTGATTTTAAGCGTTAATAGACTAGATCTATGGCTGTGTTGCACAGCTTCGTTCTAGAACTTCACCGGGAGTATTGTTCAAAATAATCCGTCGGTTTTGGATTGTTTTGGTCGATAAGATAGGATTCTGAATAATAATTCAACTTTGTGTAACACGAAAAGATCTCTGATCCCAGGTCGAAGTGGAATTTAGAGTTGTTGATAAAAGTGAACTCGAATGAAGAATGAGAATCACAGACAAACTTATTTCATATGTTCCCGGCGTAGACTGAAATCGAGCCCAGGCCACATTGGCGTCGGGTTTACCGCGATCTCCCATTTTAGATAATTTCTCTTTTTATTTCCTACGATTGCATTTACTCGAAAGTGGAAACACGATTAAGGATATAAATGCACGGGTTGCTGAGTCTAAACAATGAAAATCCCGATTTTTTTTTTGTTCAGTGCTCGCACTTGATCAACATTTGAAAGATGTCTCCGACAAGTCCGCAAAGGACTTTTAAAGGTAATTTAGCAAACAGGACACTGAAAAATTATCAGACTTACAAGTTACACAGTGAAATTGGTAACCTTAGCTTTGTAAGTGCTTTATATAATCACTCCTGTCTCTAATGTTATCTATTATAAGTATACCCGATGTAGGATTTAACTAACTGATTTTTATATAACAGTTACAAGCTCTTCAGTTTTTTTACGAAATGAAGTTTGTCGTTTTTACGACTTCTGACTTTGGTAACTTTCATAATGTGAAGTTTGCTGTTACATGGAGGTGACGTTTGTACTCCTTGAGCTCCTAGAGTGTCTTACTCCTCCGCCAAGCGATCTCAACGCGTCTAGAAAGTCTTGCTTGATAAAAGTGCACAAAAGAGGGTTGCATAACGCGGTGAGAAAGCGGAAGAAAAGTATGGCGATTGTTATATTGTTCATAGCGTTTTGAGAGATGCTATGTAATGCTTTGACTTCAAGGTCGTCCATTAACCCCCAAAGAAAGTAGAAAAATAAACCAGAGATGAAAACTGCGATCATGGCTATAAACAAAGAGGCGATTTTCTTTTCGTTTAGTCTTCTTCTCCCGACGTTGATTCGGTCCGACGATTGTTCACTAGACAGCTCGCTGTGGATTTCATGGCTTTGTCTCCGAAGATTAACAAAGATCTTGGTATAAATCATGGTCATTAGAAGAAGTGGCAGAACGACTACTGTGGCCAAGCAAAAGATGCCGTAACCGATGTCAATGCGGATCAGGGTGGCTTCACTCATGTTATTTTCTAAAAAGCCTAGGATCCAAACAAGTTGTACCATGGAGGCAACGAGTGCAAATACCCAGACAGATGCCAGCATCCAGCCTACCCTGTCCTCAGTGACGATCGAGGGATACTGTAGCAGCTTGGTTACTCTGATGTAGCGGTCGATGGACAGGAGCATTAAATGTCCCACAGAAGAGAACGCCAAGAAACGGTTCAAGATGTCCATGGCTACACACAAGTCCGTAATTTCCGTTGTCGAACACGCAATAACCATGGGTATCGCGAGCAAGCCGGTTAGGAGATCACTGGCTGCAAGACTTGCTAGCATGAAGTTTGTTGTGGTACGAAGACGTCGTTTTCGCCGAATTAACCAAAGGACCAGGCTGTTCGCAATAACGATGAAGAACGCTTGACACCCGTAAAGAACGAACGCTGTGACAGCGCTCTCGTCTTTAGCAGGCATGTTTTGACGTTTTCACCCGAGACGTGTCCTTTCTTAACTTCTGTGTACTTAAGCGTGTCTTTACCCAGTTCTCAATGTATGCAATTTTGTTTCGCGGCCGTCTATTTAAAAGCACAATTGTTTCTTTATCTCAGTGCACGTCTTTGTGTAGCTTTTCCACGAACAAGATCAGATTAAAAACTCTTTGGATGTTATCGCTATCGGTACTGAAGGCAATACTGAGCGTTGCTGTATTCTCCTCTTTATTTCAAATGTAATAGTCTGCAATAAAGACACAATAAAGACGTTATATTTTCCGGTTTACAATGCCGTCGGCATCTGTATACCCTTAGTAATGAGTATGGAAAGTATAAAAGCGAAAAACAAGTACATATTAAAACCGGTGTTCCTTATTGGATGATGTTTTTGGGTTGTGTTGCTCTAAATGCAGTCAAGTAAATGGCAATTACAGTAATAGATTGAAAGATTGAACGACAACGGATAATGGTGTATAACTTTACATTCAAATTTAAAATTATCCTTTCAATTTACTGTTGCGGGCCTTTTTCTCTGACTTTAAAAATTGAGCAAAGGTTGTATGTGTCTCTTGAAAATCTTTCTCCGTCAAACGTCATATATTGAGCATTCATTTTTAGTCTAAGTTTTACATCTGTTCCTGCACGTCTATGCTTTTAGCCACACCATTTAAAGTTTTCTTAAATACTATCCGGAAGTTTCCATCAATAAGAAGAACGGACTTTACGTTCATTATCTCTGACAGGAGATGGGTGCCATTGAAGCCGGCTAAGCAGCGGCAAATGGTTTTCAAATAAGCTCGTTACTTAGACCCTAGTGGCAAACGTTCAATCGGCAAATTGCTGTTCAAGGTTGAATTCAATTGTGCCTAAGTCTAAAATCCTGATACGGCAGATACGGAAGGCTTCAAACGAATGCTGATAGGGATATTAAAAATTGGGTACAATCGACCAAACTGAGCCGTTTGTATGAAAAAGGAGATCGTCAATCATTTTACTTACACTGAACTTACATATTCCAAGGGAAGCTAGCAATGTGATGCTTCTAAACGACCACTCTCTCACTCAATTTGATCTCTTTCTGAGACAGCTCATTTTTTAACGCCTTGTAAACTGTTCATCTCGCGTCTTTAACATTAAATAGGCCTTCATTTATAATGTAAGCAGATATCTGTCTCCTGTTTGCTTTCAATTCAATGACCTATTATTTGGTTTTAATAGCTGTTGAGAAAACCGAATTGTTTCTTATTTTAAAACCTATGACGACCTTTATTGTCATTAACATCACGCCTGAAACAAATCTTTAGCAATTTAAATTTCACTCCTGTTTCCCTACTTTAAACACGTTAGGTACTATTGTGAATCAAAAGCAATTTTTGGCTCTTTCCCGATGCTTTTCACGCAAAAATGATGTCGTATCTTTTAAAGATCTCTAGGCAAACACATATGTACATATTCAATTGAGCTTTATTTGCTTTTTTATGGAGAGGAAAAGAGCTTAATTATCTTTTATTTCGAAAGATCAATATAGTTCCTCCGACGTGTGCGTCACATGTTTTGCGCAACAATGTGAAACTAGGTAACAATGTCGCCTGAGCGAAAAATGTTCTTCAATGAAATCGAAAACAAAGAGCGACTAATTTTAGCTGTTAAAAGTAACTCAAAAATCCGCGTTTTGAGAGTCATTTTTCGTTACCTATACTGGAATACAATAATTAGTATGTAACCTGTATACGTGCCTGTTTTTTTTTTTTTTTTTTTTTTTTTTTTTTTTTTTTTTTTCTCCGGAAGGTTGTTTTTTGTGATTTTTTTTTTTTTATATTTTAATTTTAACCTTTTTTTAAAATTTGTATTTATACAAAAATAACGTTTTTTTTTGTTTTTTTTGTTTCTTTTTCTTTCTTTTGTTTGTTTTGTAATCTCCTCACTGTTCACTTTTCTCCTCCCCCTCACCCCCACCTGTTCTGTCTTGTGTTGTAAATTTAATATAAAAATATAAATTTTAGAAATTATTTTTCGTTCACATGATTGTAATAAAATAATTAGTATGTAAACTTTATAAGTGCTTTTTTTTTTTTTTTTTTTTTTTTTTTTCTTTTTTGGTCTTTACTCCGGAAGGTTGCTGTTGCAGATCATTTTACTTACATAATGTAACTTCAAACTTTGATGAAACATTGCAGTCATAGAACAGTCACGTTTCGTGTTGATATTGCTGGTTCGTTTGCGTTCATATGTAGGTTATGCAATCGCCTCACCGGTCACTTTATCTTCTGTGTTAAGCGCGCAATATTACTTTTCCACAGGAAAGTTTAGCTATATCATTTGAATCTTTACTTTAGCAACTCATTAAAACTGGTGTGAAAAATGGCATGAACATCTCGTATGTACAGCAGTATAAACAATGTCATAGAAAAGTACTCAGTAATCAGGCGAGCTTTCATTTTATAGTTTTGTCCACGGACTGATTCCGGAGCCGGGTTAGAACTGACCAACTCGTAAATAAGACATAATAAACGATTCGGGACGTCTGAGAATCAGGCCAGCAGCATAGAAAAAAGGATTACCAAAGCAAAGTACTACTCCGTACTTCGTGCAGCAGAAAAACAGTCCCATAAAATTACTACTCAATTTGCCCTCATTTGAGTGGTCAAATGTTACGCTTATTCTCTAAAGCTAAAACCACCTTGAGTAATATAAGACAGTGCTGTACACAATATTAGTCAACACTTAATTAAATACCTCTTCATGCGACACAGGTTAGGATTTCATCCCAAGCCGTCATACGGCGAAAAAAAAATAAGCGAAAAAGAAAAAAGGAATAAAACAGGACTATTGAAATATGTCTAAGAAGATAGGTCTTTGTACTTTGGTGCTAAGCGATTCTTTACAGCCAGAGAGTGGCGTCTCTCACTTCACGATCTAAAGAGTGTTTGGAGTTACAAACGAATTCATAATACTCTTAACCAACTCGCTTACAGTTGATCAAGGACCACTCACAAGGCATTGTTTAAATTTCTTAGCATTGAGGCTGTGAAGAGCAGCGGAACAGGCACGCGAACAAGGAATTTTACGGTGATTAAGAACTGATTTCTTTTGCGAAAAGCGACGAGCGTGGCTTTGCCTTTTGTGGTCTGTAGTAAAATGCAGGGAGTTCTCTACGTAATTAAACTTCACCTTAACTTTCGTTAAGGAGTTAGAATTTATTTTCTACAGCGCTGCTTGAAGTGTTAATGGTAAAATATAGTTTGCTAATTCTTGTTTCCTGGAATTGTAAGAGCCTCTGAGGATATTTATTTCACGGTCACGTTGCCTTAAGATAATCTTTAAACAACTCCAATTTACCAGTGTTTTCACATAAACTACAGGTGATTTGGAAGAGCCCCCAAAAGTAGGGTTGTTAGTGGAACAAAGAAAGGTTCAGCTTATCAAAATATCAAAATGAATACTCACAATGTTTACGAACTTGATAACAACCTTCCTGGATGGTTTTTTAATAAGACTGCGAAGGACGCAAGGCAAATTTAAAGTGGCTAGGAAATCATGATCACGTGATATTTGCCGTTCGCGTTCGTTGTGCACGTGATTCTTGATGTTCTCTGCCCAGTTTCTTGCCAAAGTTTAGTGGTATAAAAGAGAAACTGGCAGCGGAAATCAATTTTAAAATCTCAAAATCAACAAACGAGATATTCTAAACGTAACAAAAGCAAACTGCTCTTTCACGTGTTATTTGGGGACCGTTAAGGGAATGATATTCGCTGGAAGTACACTACAAGTACATTAAGTACATTAATGTTACCGCGATACACTAGTGCATTTTAACTTGACCTAAGGCTCTAAAGGATAGTTGTCGATTGAAATTAAGCTCACATTCATTTTCTCGAACACGGTAAATTGTTCCGAGTTTCTAGACTGCTAATGCCTCGGCTCACCAAGCGTACAGAACATACAGTCATTTAGAAAAAACGAATTCTAGAACTTCGGCAAGTGTCCCCTGTACGTGGCCCATTAGAAATGATTAAAACTTCAACCTTCAATACTATAATTCTTTTTCATTTTATGGCCACTGAGTATTTTTTACCATCGCAATAGCAACGTTATAATTCTCTTCAAATATCCTTAATTTTAGCTTTACGCGCATACAACTCAAAGGAGTCTGTGACTCTTACATTTTGTTTGTGAATTATGATTGGAAGTCAATATGTACCTTTCTACGTCGTCTTAAAATTTCTGTTGAGACGGTTCAGAGCCACCTTAAATTTTTCCAAAATTCAAGGAATTAAGTGACTATATCTGGATTCTGGTATCATTCAAGGGTAACCAGCGACGTGGCTTATAAACGTAACATAAGTGAAGTTTTTAAAATAGCTAGTTAAGTTTCTATTGTTTTGCCCTTTTCAGCTAGTAACTGCTCTTATCCAATATGGAGGAAGAAATGTTCGAAGCAGTGATCTGTTCGGTCAAAACAAAACTCCCTTGTCTCTTACAAGAAGGTTCTTCAAAGGATTAAAGGTATGTCTATGCATCTGTTTGAACATCACTTTGCAAACAGAATTCAAGACGGAACAGGAAATTGAGTAATTTCAATTTGCAGTGGACAAAAACCTTGTACCAGAATAATTTAAACAATATCGCATTCTTTTTTACATTTTTAAGAGCTATAGAAATAATTAGTCATCTGTAATAACACCAAAGACTATTTCTCATGGGAGCCCGAGAAAAAAAATGTCAAATTTCACAAGAATTGTGAAAACACAGGTAAAATTCTGAAAATTTCGTGTGCAAGGTGCCATTTTGTGAAATTTGACATTTATTTTCTCCGGCTCTCATGAGAAATTTTCTTTGGCCATGGTGTTATTACAGATAACTAATTACATCTATAACCCTTGAAAACTGTCAAAAAAGAATACAATATTATTCAAATCATTCTGGTACAAGGTTTTTGTCTACTGAAAATTAAAATTACTCAATTTCCTAATGGATTCCTTCTTAAAAACATTTTTAAAACCTACATTTAAAGACTTGTATTAGAAACCGCGCTCTTATTTATCCGTTACATTTATGGCCGACTCGCCTTCAGCGTTGAAGTTTATGTACTTTTGTTCGCTTTTCTGTTGCTGTTCTTGTAGTTTTGTTTTAAGTATTACCTAAGTTGTTTTTATTTTTGCCATCGGTTTTGCCATTACTGCATTGCCTTTGCCGTCGTTACCGTTGTTGTTGAGGTTAACTAAGGCTTTGTTCACGCTGTATCGGATAGCTCTTACACTTGCACGAAAGTCAAAATATATAAAATATCAGCAAGTCCACACCGACAAACCAATGAGTGGTGCCGGATCTCCCTGTTGCAGACCCGGATCAGTACAATAATAACTTGTAGAAAAATATGAAACAGCAAACTGATCCTTCAGGGGTACCCAACGTCAATTTTCGGAAAATATCTGTTCGGAAGACGATTTGAGATCTAAAATTTTCGGAACATTTTTTGGAAAATTTCTTGCTTGCCTACCTCTCCTAGGATTTTCGAACATCTAAAAATTGGTGTAATTACCCATTTTTTACGGATTCTTACCCTAAAAAGCTCACCTGGAATTTTTCGGGAGCCTTTTTTCTGGCTGAAATTTTCGAAAAGGTAAGCTTTGATCCCTATGATTTTCGGATCTCGAGACTTTCAGCTAGGAAATCCGAGCAGATGAAAAATTTTTAGGGGAGAAAAATATGCCTATATCTACCGTTTAAATACTAAAATACGTTTAACAATGCTATGTTTAAGTGGTTTTGAACTATATTCTCGTTGGGTGCCCCTGATCCTTACGGCAAGGCGATGAAAAGTCATACCGGATATAGCTTTTGTTCACACATAAGGACGGGAATTTCGGCGCGAATTTAGTAAAATAGGGACCTTACGATCCGACAACGGCGACTTCCATGAAAACGTCGCTGAAAAACAGACTTCTCATCATTTTAAACTTTTTCGCGATTATCCCAATTCGCCCTGTTACTTAAAAGAAGGGGATTTTGGCTGAAGCTGAAGAGAGGCGAACGCGCTCAAGTTCGGACAGAGATGGTAGAATTTATCGCTTTGCCCTTCCCGTTCCCAAGTGAACTTAAAATTTGGTCATTTCACGTCGCAGTTGTGCAGTGAAGACAAAAAAATGTACAAAAAAGCTTGATGCACGTGCAGAGTTGTTGTTTTGCTCATTAAGCCTATTGTTTTTTGATGTTCCCGTTGCCCTTGTCGTCGTGGTTTGCCGCACCGATCTCTATAGGGGAGCCAGTCAAATATAGGATTGGTGCTCATACTATACAGGATAAATTATCGTGTCGGCAAGAAAAACGAGCCAGTATGGTGTGAACATGACCCGAATTAACACAAATTGTACTTGAAATTTCAGGGAGTGGAGAACATCTATACTCAACACTCTCCACTGCTTTCTGAAACACTAGACAGCCTGATAAAAGGGAAACTTAAAGAAAGTCTTTTCCCTTACCTGGGGTCGTCAGTTCTTCGAGACAGGTAAGCGCTTACCAGAAACAGGTGGTAAGAAAAAACGGAGTTTAATAAGACCCTCTGCGCTTTAATAAAGAATACGTAACTGTCGCGCCTAGTGCCTTTTAATTAATATGGGGCAAATTTCATTTCAGTGTCGAAATTAGGGAACTTAAGCAAGAGCAAGTCTGATGTATATTCATTGACACTTTAAAAATTATAAGTCACTTTTACATAAATGACAAATAAAACAAATAGCGGCAATATCTTTGTTGTTAAAAACTGCCACTCTTTTTTATTACAAAGCGCAATTGTTGTCCTCATAGTAATACTACTAGTAATAGTTGACACTACAGCTGCCCCCGTTCTTTATATTGTCGGTCAATAGTATTCTTGCTGGTTGTGTAGCTCTTTGAAATATACCGATTCATAATGAAGATTTTCACACATATTCCATACAATAGGTGAGATAAATACAGGAAACGCAATGTTCTATGCACAGTTTCAGCTCGATTTACACAGCTTTGATCAAAACATTCTCAGTTTCGAGAATAGTTTATTCTAAACCATAAGAAAAGATTTAATTAGAAGTTGAATTTTTCGCTATTTCTCTTTCCCTCTTTACATTCAGTTCATTTTATTTGCCGGAAAGTGAGCCTTAGAAATTAAAAGGACGTTTGATCGATTCACGCTAGCGCATTCTAGTCTTATTTGAAACTTTATAACGGAAGAACATCTGTGAGCAGGGAATAAGTCAGCACAGAATTTTATTGTCGGCGAATTTCTGTAAATGTCCATCAATCTGCTAGTGATAAGCTAGCCGTTGTTCACTCGTCTTGCTTGTTTGGGGCTGAGTCTTATTCCGGTCAAAGAGAGAGAAAGAGTGTCTGGCAACGTTTCCAATATAAATCAAAGATTTGTGAACTCGTGTCTGGCAAACTCTCCAAGTGTTTATATGTACATAGTTAAACGCACCTTATAACCTCCCCTGCGCTTAACGAGTGTCTTTTGGTCCATAACTTTCAAAACAACTGCTCCACAGAATGTCACTGCGTAACGCAAAAGAGTATCAAAGTATGACTGCACAATAAATGTCACAAAATCTACCTGAGCGGTCCCTTCGGGATTTTCTGTCTTTACGTCATCCTAACCATTTCGTACTTGCGGGCGCAAACAATAGAAACGTCATCATTACCTACCGATTCCTCGCGGCCCCAGTTCGAGCAAATCGAGATTTTTTCCAGTATACTGACTGTATATTCGAACTGTAAGTACTGTCCTTAATATACGCGCGAGATACTAGGGTGCCTCCTCGGGATTTCGCCGCTGGGCGAAATCCCTGCGGGGGCAACAAAGTGGCTGCGGATGTTATAATCAAGGCCTAATTTTTCCTCAAAATTTGGCCGCTTGTTTTTGTGTGCGACAAGTGCAGCTGTTATGAAGTATTACAGCTGTTTTATTTCATAGTTTTATTAGAAAACGTAGAAGGTATTAGTGGTGCAAGTTAAAGGTAATCTGCCAAGTGAATAGTCAATGCAAGAGCTTATTATACATTGGCACTGAGCTGCACTACCTGATAAAAGCAGTGACATCTGAAGATGATTTTTTTTGTTCGTGAAATGACGCCTTTATAAACAATATTGGATGAGGTTTTTGTGATATCAGGAATAATCAATTTCAAGGCAAGTGTTACGAGACCTTAATGATTGTTTCGGAGGTCACAAACACCAAATCTAATAATTATTTAACTCTACACTGTTTTGAAGAAAATAACGACAAACACACCGTCGTATGGAAAATAGTTTGACGTTATTCTTGGAAATCATGCATTTTGCGCACATCTCACAGATTAGTCAGTTATCCGGTAGCAGAGAACTAACTAATCTGTACATGGGTTGCGCTGATTTCCAAACTTATCTGTAGGCTCTTAGCCAATGAGAAGACAGATGGTAAGTATAATGTATAATGATATCTAAAATTGGAACAGTGATATCAGATAACTGAAACGGATTCATAGATATCCCAAATCGATACAATGATATCTGAACAGGTCCAGTAATATCTAACACTTCCGTGTGTTGAATGGGTTGCAGAATAATAGTTAACTTTCGAGTCGCCTTATAATAATACATACATATCGGTATATTTTTTCACATTTATTTCATATTTGAAGAATTCTGATGGATATATATTTATATTTCTACTTTTTATTTAAAACAGCGCCAACTGATAAAATTACCGTGGTTTAATAAAATACCTTATCTTACACTAGACCAGGAGTTCGAGGTTGATTACAAGTACGAGTTTTCGAACAAAATTCGTGCGCCTCACTCAATTTACTTATCACACGACTCTTATCCCTAACGTTAATTATATATGCTAGTCAGCAACAGAAAAGAATTATAGTTCGGGGAATGAAATTAACCCGAAATTCCAAAATAGAACAGGAACTCGATTTGCTACTTAGTTAAATCTAAAGGTCGCTAGTTAATCACCCTTTACCGAGTAAGATTTTCTTGTTGTCTTTCCCTGTATTTGTTCACGTGTGAATTGCGTTTTTTTCAAGGCCCCAAGAAATTATCGTCTTTATGGTAGGAGGTGCAACCTATGAGGAAGCATATGCTGTTTACAACTTAAACAAGACGCTACCCGGAGTGAAAATTGTGCTAGGCGGTACGACAATTCACAACTGCAAGAGGTAAGCTGTCCTGATTGCTAATTTCAGAAAGCCTTATCATACTGCCTATACTGGACCTTACGGGAAGGCTCCTCCTGATGGGGACGGATACCTTTTCCAGGCTTCAGGTATATGAAAGGCTGGTGATTTCAGTTGTTGAAGTAGCTCAGTGAAAAGGTAGGAAAATCTGTCTTTTTTGGTTGGTGAAAAGACCCGAAAGGCTTAACAAGCAGTGGCGGATCCAGAGGGAAGGCCCCTCCCCCTTAGTTTTAGATGAAACTGAGGCCCGGAGGGCCGAAAAAAAAAATTTTGGAGACCGGTCCCCCCCCTATCTAAGGGTCTGGATGACCGGCTCCCACCCCATATCTCAAGGTCTGGATCCGGCACTGACAAGTGCGTTTTATGTCTGTGAAAAAGTCCAGAAAACGTTTTGGTTTTGGGATTTATTCATATATTTAAGACAGAGGTCGAAACAAGGTATGTGAAAGCGGTGTGAGAAAATTGTTGCGTCATTATCGCAGGAAAACTCGTCACGTGATCTGAGAACTGAACTTTGTACAAGTGTCTCGGAACTGTGTAGTCGTTCGGAGTCGTGGAGCTGATCGAGTGTGTAGATTGAGTGTAGATCATCGAAATTTTACGGGAATTGATGTCGGTGAATCCTTTAAGTGTAGAACAGAGGACAGAATTCTAAAATATGAACATGTGAAGAAATATACTTTCAATGAATTAACGCTACAGAGAACTGGTTCATCACACATAATTTGTGACAAGCGGTACCATTTTCCAAAAGAAGGTATACGAAAGGGGTAACTTATCGTCAAAAATGGTATATAAAAGTGTAGGGGTTGACCTTTTGTTTCCAAAGATCTCTTTTTATTGTTGTATTATTTACCGGTTACAAAATATGCAAAGTAAAACAAGAAGTTGTTAACGTCTTAAAATTAAAAATTCATCTTGGCTTGCTATTTTCAAGCTTGTCGGTGACAACATTTAAAACTGAAAAGCGTGATAACCAAAACGACGTACCTTTCTGCTGACTTTCCAATTTGTGCCAAAAACCGCAGCTTGCGTCCATTATCTTAAAATATTCGCGCTCCATTTGTAAGTCGTTTTATATCTCAACAGAACTTTTTCGTTACTTTTTTTATGTGGAGAAAAATGTTGAAGCAGTGACAAACGCAGCTGTGGATATAATCGCCTTAGCTTTTGCTGTGAAATCTCCGTTTCTTGCCAAAGCTGCCACAGCATTCCTTGTTCGAAGTACATATTTAATCAGTTGTTTAAAGTCTCACAGTCCTTATTTTTTTATATGAATTTATTAAAAGAGGTATACTTTTTATTGTTCGCTGCAAGAAAAAAATCGCCTTCTAGTTATTTATTTGCTTGTTTATTGATTTATTGATCGATCTTTTTTGGAAAAGACAACGCCTAGTGCAAGCTAGCAAATGAAGTGTGCGCTAAATCAGTTTACATTTCCAACATAAAAGAATTGATTGACAAGACAGAGTCATGGTTTTTACTCCAATTTATGTCTTAGTTAGTATAACAATACGAACTCGCCCCCCTCTCCCCTCACCATTAGAGAACTTTAATCTAAACGATTTTAAAGTTTTTTTTTAGTACGTGTTACAGTTCAGCAGTCCAACCACACTTTACTCAACAGAAGTATTGCTCATGAAGCGATATCATTATTAGTTTGAATATTCCTATGGCGCCAGAAGGCTAAGTACCTTTCTGTTAAGAAAAGAACGAAGTCGCTTCTTCACGCACGCAACGTTTTCAAATCCTGATGGCGTACATGTAACTGCGAACAGACACGTACACCCTTGGTCGCTGTAGTCTTATCCGTTAGAGCTGTGGTTTTAATAATTTGCCACCTGAAAAACTGAAACGCCGTTTGCGAGCAGTTTTATTTTCAGTGATCACACCCCCTGTTTCATTTGAATATTCGAAGCTTAGAACTACTTTTTTCAAAACAGTAATACAGCACTTGTCATAGCGCAATCAAGCAGTTTCAGTTCAGTGAATCATGACATTTGGGAGTAGAATAAATGTTTCGAACAAGCGATTTGAAAGGTTGGCTTTTGAAAAGTTTGATAAACGGATGCATGGCAAGGAAGGAAAGTTAACACTATAAGGGAACTTTCTCCAGATTTATCCTTTTCATCTTGGCTTTTCTTACATGTACTTTCTTACTTTACATGCATCTTTTGTTTAAATATAAAATCAATTTATGCAGCAAACCCTCTCTAATTTACCACTCTCTTGTACGACTATCTCCTTAAGCGGCAATCGTTATAAAAATCCTTCTTGAATTTAAAATTTTTAATTCAATCAGTGCATATGACAACTTCTAGAAACCCCTGGTCATTTCGCCGCAAGTGAGCCTGTTGTTAACTCCAAAGGCTATAATGCCTTACACGAGCCTGATTCGACCACAACTACAATATATAAACGGCTAACCTTGAAAAGTCGAATGTTGTGTTAAAATTTTCGTTCGCTCTGTCTTATTACGCCTCTCCGTCCCTCTTCGGCTTCTTACTATACTAAAGACCAACAATAGCTCCCCTCTGAATATATACGAAGCTGTCATGTCGCAAGGTTTGCGTACATTAGGCTGCTCTCGTATGTTATGTACAGTTGCAGCCCCGGAAAATCGTGACAAAACTGTAACAGACTGTCATTTTTTGCCACTTTTAAATTGCATCTCAGTAAACACAATCTAGAAGAATTTCCTGTATCTTCCGCCTCGGCTTTGTGACAATTTTGTCTGATTTTGAAGAACTGATGAATGAATGAAAAAAATTACATTAAATACTCGGCTCCCTTTTAACGTTTTAAAACGTAATATGAATAAAAACGCCAGTCACGAATTGATATTCGTGTGTCGCCGCATAATTGTCGTATCGTGATGTTTCTTTTCCGAGTAATTTGAAACGTTGCAATTTTTTTTGTCTTTTGATCGAAATGACATTTGATGTAGCCTTAGTGACCCTACTCTGATGGGCGGTCACGTGTGGAAGATTCAAGTGTATGAGGAGTTCACCCTTTCCCTTCTAATTTGGTGGCTAAAAAACTCAGAAAAAAATACTCATTTTTTTGTAGAATCCTGAAAAACAAATAATACCATGGGAAAGTTCTACCTAAGAGGTTTCATTTGAATGGTAATACCATAGGATTTCACCAACAGATTTAAAAGTTAGAGTAAAAAATAACCTGACCTTAACGTTCTCTAGGAACAGTTTGGCCAGGTCTAGACAACAGACTGTCTTATTACTGAACTTGATTCCAATTTTGGCCGGTAACGAAACCGAACGTAAAGGTTCACGGCTGTATACTTGTTAATATTGCCAATGTCGCCCCCCTTTCGCTATATGGAACAGTTAACGTTGGCGGCGAAATTACTTATAAATGACAAAATCACAGCTTTGTGTCAATGCAAATATGCCTCCCAAGCAAGTACATCAAAGGTTAAAGACAACAAAGTGGAACTTAAAAAAACAGTTGGGCTGGCAACTTTTCAGAAACCACAATTACAATCCGTTTTAATCTTCTATAAGTTTGTCCATCCGTGCGTGCTTTATTTTCTATTTAATGTGTTATTTTCACCTAGTTTAATATTTTCAGCGCTAATTTTATATTTCACTCAATTTGTTGGTAGCTCCCGCTGTTTGAATTTTGATAAATCTCGTGACGAAACCCCGGCCTTTAATAAAGTTTGAGGACAGGGATCGTGAAATTGCCATTATATGCGGTATTGTACATATAATTTATGAACCGAAGTTCGGCAGATGAAAAGGGCGGAATTCCCGACTGAGCCTGGTGGCGGCAAGAACCGGCGACTCCAAACTTTTGCTGCTCTTAATTTCAAAACGAATTAGGTTCGATGGCGCGGGAAGAGATTTGAAGCGTGCTCTACGATAGAAAGCGTTCGGTTAAATCTCTAAGCTCTACAATACTGTTTGTTTTTTTTTGGGGGGGGAGGGATTCAAACGATAGTTTCCTCAGTTCTTTCAGTTTTTTTTTTTTTTTTTTGCCGTTTGATAACGTTCAAGAGAGATCGTGAGGACGTATCCCATAATCGCATTTCTTTTCAGACTCTATTTAATGAAAATATATCTAAACTATACTCCTGAATGATGCTCTTGGCACGTGCTTTTTTTAAATTTTATTGTGACAGTGGGCACGAGAAATAAATTGGTATCCTCAAATTTATCTTAGTATTTCATTTTCGAGTCTTCGAAGCAATTTTCAGGCGGCCTGTTTATTTTGTTCTTTAAAAGCTGTGAGCGTGTCAAACTAATTTTCATGTTTAATTTGAGTTGTGCAAATTTGACAAAATGTTCAACTGGAAACTGATCTAATTAGACTAACAAACTCATTACGAGTTATATGTGTTTTGATACCTCTTAATAATGTTGGTAAATTGCTAAGAGTAAATATCAGACATCTAGGAAATTTATTACATGTAGATATAAATATGTTGGCCCTGCAAATGTGATTTATGCAGCGCTTATATAGTTCTTCTAATATTGATTTACGCCCTGTCAAAATACACAATGTCCAATACATCAATACAGACACTATGTGCGCATTTCTGTAAAAATAAATAAAATAGATTCTATTTTCAAAAATCAATCAATCAATCAATCAATTTATTAACGTCAATACGTGGGATGGGGTTGCCCCGATCATCCAAGCCAGAGGCTCATGTATAAAACGTATGACAAGAAAGATAAATATCTCGAGCATTGGACAGGAAAAAAATTTGTTTTCCCTTTGTAATTAGAGCCGGGGGAGATACTCCTCTCCAAATGACGGAGTGCTCGTCGGAACATTTCGGAAACAACGTGGAAAGGAACTAGAATCACGCCTTTTTGTGGGCTTGGCCCAAGTTCATTGTCACCTCTAAGAGCTACCAAATCTGAAAACACAGATTAACAAACACTGACAATTTTTAATAGCAATTAGTATTATTCAGTTGACTGAAGAATATCTCTCTCTATTTTTATAGCTCAATATAAACCATATTAGTAAAATCCAACTGGTCGACTGTTATCAATTCTTCGTTCTGATCGGTTGAGCTACTCCTAGGCCATATGTTATAGCCTACAAGTAGAGAATAGCGCCGGCTTTGAAAACCAAGCCAATGGCGGCTGAATCGCGTTCAGTGCTTGCTAAAGTTGTTTTGTCTCGATACTTTTGACCAGCTAGTTGGATTTTACTAAAAGAATTATTCCTCTCACCCTCATGGCCTCTGAGTTAATAGCCCATTCGGCCTTCGGCCTCATGGGCTATTGACTCAGAGCCCATTCGGGCTCGAGGAATAATTGTTACGTATTTGCCATAAAGTACGCATAAATAAAAAGGTACTGCGAAACTCTGTGTTTATTTTAGATTTTAGCAAACTAAGCGTTACCAATCCACAATTTTACCCCATAAAATAAATGTACGATGTACACCCTCGTCATTTAATAAGGATACCCCTAACGGTGAGGCGTTCCACCCGCTACACCCTGGAAATACTCATGATAAACATGGTCGAGCGCGAGGCGCGAAAGACGAGTGTAGACCCCTACTCTAGAGTTTCCTAAAATTTTCAAATTTGGGCGCTAAAGCATCAAATCTCCTGGTCTGTACGATGAACAAAAAAAGCCTCTGAAAACTGAATGAACATGGATATCCTTTAAACCCAAGAAAGAATGAGCTAAAACCTTTTCGCAGGTAGCTTTTCTGTTGATGCTCTGTTTACATAACTATTCTCACTGCATAATTAATTAGCTCATTGCAGGGATTTTGTATAATCTGTGCGCATTCCCCTCGAAATCGCGCGTCCTTGTAGGGGTTGTAATGCTTTTGCAACCCTCGACTATAAATTAGTCCGTGCTGCCTAAAACCTGGTCATTTTTAATGATCGTGATCCGGGACTACGGCCAATTTTCGCGACCCGCCCACGTCCCCTGGTGGCGGTTACCAACTTCAGTCGCAGACTTTTCCTTCCCATAACTTAATATTACACAGTGAGGTGATGGGTATGCAGTGAGGATATATTACAAAATAAATGTAACGCCGATTTTCTTTCTCTTCTGTTCTCAGTTTTCTAGAAGAAGTCCTGCATTCTACTGGTCACGGAGCGGCATCTAGAGCCCGAGTAACTTCAGCCAGCGGAAACTACAGATCGTCTTACACGTCTTCTTTCTTTTGAACCATACAAACTATGCAGGACTGAAAGTAATCTGAACAGTTGATAATCGTGTTTTCTTTTTATAGCATTCTTTACATTCTGTTCTTCATAGCTTTTCAAAGTGAGCCCAACGGGCGGTATACTGTGTTATTATTTCGAATAGATGAAATATGCTCTCTTTTAGAATAATTATAGAGCGAAAATCGTGAGAAGCCGTCACGGACCGCGGGGGCCTACCTTCATGAACCCTTGAACACTATAAGGCTATGTACACACTATACTGCTACCGTAAAATTCCGAAAATAAGCCCTTCCAAATATAGGCCCCCCAAACTCGTAACGCAGAAAACCCTCCGTTAAATGGCCCTTCCGAATAGAAGCCCCTCCGTGAGCTTGTACTTGGAAATTGCCCTCAAATACAAGGGCAAAACAAAGCAAAAACAGTAAATTTCCTTCCAACTATAAGGTTAGCCCAATCGATTTTGAAACGCAAATGTCCTTCCGTAGATAAGCCCCTCCGAATATAACCCCCTCCAAAAATAAGCCCCTCAAAAAGGGCCTTTGAAAAATAAAAACCTTTTACTCTGATCTCAGCCTCTAAATCTGAGCAGGTTATGAACGAAGCGTTCAGCGTCATATAGCCATTCAGATAAAAGCCTCAATTAAAAACTTAATTCTTAAATATCTTGTTTGTTTTATCGTTTTGTACTAACCAGGTCGATCACTGACGTTACTATTTACATGTGTCTTGAGTCCACTCATTAAGTGCCATCCAGACCTTTGGGATAGGCATTTCCCTACAAATATTGGCGTACCATTTACAAAGAAACAACAAGTTGGCTCTTGTAGAAGGGTGAGCAGCCTAGCCAGTTCACCCCGTTTTTAGATGATAGAGTCACCCCTCTAGCTGGGTCAACTCGGCCGCGGCCATTCTAGTTCAAGACCACGTGACCAAGAAACGAAGGGCTCTAGGGACGAGAATGGGTTCAGAGTATACGAGAGAGCTATTGTCAGCTCTTGGCTTGGGCAAAGGGTCAGCATTTTCATATAAAAACGCTCGCTAAAGTTTTGACTCAGAAGGGAAAGTGACCATCTTTCCCGGGACAAATTTCCTGTTTTAAACAGCCTTCCCATTGTTTTTTCTAGCCGAGGTCAGAATTCCCGCCAAAGTCACTGAGCAAGCAACATTGCAATAGCACCAGTTGATTTCATATTTGATATACCAATATAATAATTGTAATAAGTCAATATGACTGGTCCCTCTTTTCTGGAAGCCAAAAAATGTTATTTTCAAGAGCCTCAATACTTCACTTTCCACAGGTTTGTGTTACTACATAAAAAAAGTATGCCAAGTGAAACGATGTGTATCTATGGTGAAATGGCAAAGAATCATTTATGCCTAACAGATGTCACCAAAAGATGTGCTAAAAAATGTGCCCTACTCTACAATCTTGGACAAAAATGTTAAGAAAAATGCACCTTGTATGTTTAATTTTAGATTACTACCCTCTGAAGCTCGGTTCACTCAAGGTACTTACCCCTCCCCCGCTAAAAACAATATTGAAGGGTGACCGGAACATTTCTGCTCCCGACTTAACAACACTGACCAGGAAAGGGGCGGGGGGGGGCCACCATGATGCTAAATTCACCAGGTGGGTCTCCTGTGAGTAAGAAAGTGTAATTTGTCGAAGATTGTAGATCTATACCCCTTTGCAAAATGATTCCACGTCAAAACATTGAGACCTTGAGACACACGTCATGAATATGTCCTTTCATTTCTTGACGTTCACGTAAAAATCGGGTAATTCACATTTCACGGAAAATAAAAATTAAATTTACGGATGTTTCCTTGTTTCCTGCTCTAAATCAACTGTTAGAGTTGGGGTAATACTTCTAATGACCCAAATACCGGAAGGCAGATCATTGAGCCAATCTCTTTGCCTAAACAAATTCCCCGAGAATAAAATCGGCTTAAATTTGAGGCGAATTACAAAACATCAGTTCACGCACAAGGGCATAGCTTAAAACTCAAGTTAAATCAAATCCTAGTCATGCATAAATCTAAAAACGCTTTTAAGTGTATGTAAAGGTGACTTGATACGAGAAATCACGCATTAGGAATGAATCAAAACCTTCATCACGTTTCACGAGAAAAAATACAAATAGCCCCAATCACGGTTCACGAAAAAAGCAAAAAAAATCGGCGGTGTCTCCTTTGTTTCGATCAGTCCCTTTTCTCTCTCTCTCTCTCTCTTGTTTTTGTTTGCTTGCTTGCATGTTTGTTTGTTTGTTTGTTTGTTTGCTTGTTTTTTTTAAATTAAGACTCTTTTGACTACAATTCTCATTTTAGCGGTATGGTGATCTTAAAGACGCTCAAATCATCCTACTTTCCATTACCAAGTAGTGGCTGGTTCTCGTCTTCATTAATTGTTTTCGATTGTTCTTTCTCTACTGGTTGCTGTTTCTTTCTTTTGGATCTAATAAAGATCACCCAGGAGATGACGCATAAAATTTCAATGCTTCCAATACAAACAAAAGCTGCAGAGACCCAAGGAACGAGTTTCATTGGAATCAGAACTGTTTTCACTGTGTGAACAGTCGATGAATCAACTGTGACACTGTTGTTGAAGTAAATTAACGGAAGGATGACCTCTTTCACATTCGCCATTTGAAAAATATATTTGGTAGGTTTAATGTTGACGTTAAGTTGAAGCCTCAAACTTAAGTGCAGAGGAAGTCCAAAGTGCGGTTCTACATCAAAAAAGGTGCCGTGTTCTTCTTTGTTTGGTCTCAGCCCTCCTACATCATTCACAAGCGCTGGGTCGCCTTGATAGAAGTGTGGCTCCGAAGCAACAATTGCTGGTACTGCAATTGGAGTGTTTTTACAAACGCTAGCATCCAGGATGCCAGTAGGAAAACAGCCATTAGGACAGAACCCTTTGTTTGCTGGGTTTACACTTGCATTTTGCCACAACTCCGCAGGGTATGTGAATCTCATCGTGTTCACACCGTGAACATTGAATTGCGAGTCGTACACAAATCGCATAGACCTGCACAACTGAACATAAAACGCGTACAGCGTGTCATCCTTACGAATTTGGGGTGGAAATTGCATGCCGTCACTTCCGTTGAACATATTTGCCCAGGAGGAGCTCCACAAGCCTACATCTGGTTTTCCCTTCCACATGGTCCAAACTGCAGCTTTTGAAATGTCCAATGCTCCCGTGTGAACGGTGGTGACGCCATCTAGAGTGTTGTTGTACATCATTCGGAAAATGGGATCGATGTCTGGGAGAAAAGACAAGTGAAACTTGCGCCTCAGTTCGGAGAATAATTGAAACACTGGATCTCTGTATCCCCATAACATCTCGTGTACTGTGATTTCTTTAAAGAATTCTTCCTTGAACCTCTCGAAAATGATATTGAAAATCAGAGCAGATCCAGGATACATTTTTGAAACCTCGGACAAAATAACCAGTGGTACATTGGGAAGTGTGATAGTGTCCTTAGATGCATCACACGAGGAACAAGAGCACTCGGCGCTGAAGATATACTTGGTAAACTTGTTGAAGGAAACTGTAGAATTGTCATTCCAGGTGATGTTTTTTCTCAATTGATGAACTCTGTAGCAGTAGGGTCCCTTCTGAGTCACATAAGGTTGTTTCCCCTGCTTCATTTCCAACGGATTCTCTACGTTGAATACAAAAAACTGCATGCGAACCGGAACAGTTGGGGAAATCCATTGTCTATAAATAGGAGAGTTTGGTTTTATAACAAGCTTGGAGTCTATGATGGCCTGTATCCAGCAGTCCCCTTTAATGAAACATACCGTACCGAAGACAACCAGAAGGGCGCCTGATAGTGTTAACACTGTGAAACATTTTTTCGTATTCTTGGGCATACAGCTGCAACGATTTCCACACTTCGTATTCTTCATGTTGCATGAGTGAAGAGCTTGACTTGTCAACACACTAATTGATGGTCACGAACGCTTTTTCGCAAACAGAAATTTTTAAATAAGATCTTGAACAGTAAAAAGAGACAAATTAAACCTCCCCGTTAATTGAACTACAATCCACCAAACTTGAAGATCAAGCAAAAGAGAGCCTGAAGGTAACCGAAAGAAAGCCAAGTCATGGCTACGCCACAGGTTATGTAACCGGCTATAAACTACACCGGCTCGTGATTTTCAGCTTATTGGGTGGTCACTTGTAAACTGAGCTAATCTCAGTTATATTAGAACGGTGTTTTTTATGGTTCGAAAACATGAATTATGGTTGAGTTAGGGCTTAAATGTTGTGCTGTAGTCTTTTTGCTTTTATCTCGTTTTGTTTTTCCCGCCAGGGTGCTTTTTGTTTCCGATTGTTTTATCACTTTTAGGTTTTACAATAAATCTGAGGGGAATTTCTAACGCCAACTAGGTCGGTTGAAAAGCGTAATACATGTTAGCATTACCTAAAACCTGTCAATTACAATTGTTTTCTTGTATCACATCCAGCATTCTATGGGGTTTTGCTTAAAGTGCCCTGAAATTCTGCGGTTAAAATATCAGCAAATTTAGTGACAGAGATTTGACAAGACTTGCATCGGTGACGCAAGTCTCTTTAAAAATTACCAAAAAGAACCATAAAAAACAGTCAGCCAACCACTAATAAAAGATGAGAGAAAATTTATTTGCACATACATTGCGAGTAAACACTTATCGCAGTAAAAGAGTAGCGAAATATATAACCTGTCAACATCCTATACGTATCTTATCCCCAGTTTGTGACGAAAAGAGATATCAGAAAATTTTTAAACTTTTTTCTATGACCTTTGGACTGCACAAGCATGTTATTTTTGGCAAATAATGCGGAAGCTCTAATCAACTAAAATTCGAAAAAGGAAAATGATACCCTAGAATGAACGAGCAGACAAAAATTTTAGAGCACCGCTTTTGCATAGCCTGCGAGCCAGCAGCAAGCCAGCAGCTAGGGGCAGGGTAAAAAAATGACTCAAACGTACGTTTGGGGAAACTTTTTGGCGGGGGAGCCACCAGTGCGCGAGAAGAATGGGCCAAGCCATTCTTCTCCTGCGCCGCCAAACGTTTTCGCCAAACTTACACATGTGAGCCTGCTCGCAGGCTATTGCTTGCTGGCCAAAACGTGCAGCGCTTTGAAATGCTCGGACGGCTCTTTTACCCTCATGCAGCTCATTTTTCGCTTGGAAATCGCCTGGGTCAACTTTGGAGGTCCCCTTGCAACCAGTTCGCAGCCTTGTGGCAAAAAATTGCGCGATACACGTAAAACGGTTGGGATAAAATGGCCCTCTCCAGACCTTTACAGAGACAAAATCGTAAGGAAGGATATTTCTAGGGGGGGGGGGGAGGAGAAGAAAGAAGTGATTAGGGAGGGAAGACAGTAAAGGGAAGAAGGTTAATGATTTAGTTCAAGATAGGATAAAGATCCTTCTGATTCTCTCTTGTATAGGCAAAACCAACAGGATCAGGCCTTCCTTTCCCTCTTCCCCATCCCCTCTAAAATCTCCTCTTCCCTTGCCCCTTATGGAACGCCTGATTCTCAGGATACCATCACTTAAAGAGGTTTCCCAATGGGGTTCTTCAATCAGACCTCATACGCGCGAGATTTAACACGTGCTTTTTGCGTACAAGCTTTCCTTCTTCTAAAACAAAGTTCGTGTTTTTCAGAGCCTGTGTCTACTGAAACAACCTTACCCCATATGATTGTTCAAAAGTAAGACGGAGAATTTTCGAGGTCGATAGGCCAAGAGCAAAGGCTTCTAAAAAGGTTACCGCCTTTTTAGGAAAAGAGCACTCTCTAAGCTCGTACCCAGATCCCCCACGACCAAGGGTTTTTCAGCGTATGGCAGAGTGAGATCCGGGTACGAGGTAAGTACCCCTCTCAATTTTAGTTCTAACTCCGTCAAGTGATAACTTTGAAAAACTTACCATTAACTACTATAACTTAAGCCTTCTGAAACCGGACGCAACATTGTTGGCCAACAACTCCCTGTTGCATGTGGCTGCGTGTTGTTGACAGTTGTTGCGCAAAGTTTGAAACAGGTCAAACTTTTAGCTGCGTTCAAACAGACGCAACAACTCCCAACATTATTGGGCCAACAATGTTGGGAGCTGGCTGTCAAAAAGTAGCGGGAAAGAAATTCCTTCCCCGGCACTACTTTGCTTCAGTGCTCACCGACTAGAACTCGAGGTCGAGGAAAATCTTTCTAAAAATTAAGCATTTTTTCTCCTAGTCTCGTTGTATTTTTATTTTGCGTTCATGAAAAAAGGTACCACTTCCTTAAGGTGGCTCGATACAGTTTTTCAAGGTCAATACCTCTCAAGTTTGAGCATAAACTACGTCGCCATAAACAAAGTTTTGGAAAAATTTCCACCAGCGTTGTATTGGATAAAGATGAAAATTTGTTATGATCAGTGTTGCAACGGCATCGGAGTTGTCATAGCAACGAAATGACGCTATTGCCTATTTTACTTGCAGCAGTATATCTCGGCACTGGGAACTGTTCTTTGAAAATCATTTACGGGAGCTTTTTCCTCCAATAGCAGCCTCGATGTTCGTGAAGTTTAAGAAAAATTGGTAAGAGCGTTATCGAAATATTTTGGGATAATGTTTTTATTGTAAGAAACACAGTAAAAAGAAGACAATATTGTTGTTTGGCCGTTATTTGTAGAAAATCTTGAAACTAAAAGGGCATATAAAAGGAAGGTTAATCTCAAGAATCTTAAATTTTTAAAAAAATCTATCGAGCGGTTTACGAATTATTCGCTAATTTGTTAAAGTAGACCAACATGTTCAAAAAACCGCTAACAAGAACGCCTCGATACATACTAATCAAATCCTTCTTTCTAGCAAACGGCTGGAGCTATCTCCTTGATCTTTCACACACGTTTTTAAAAAGACTGAAACTACTATTAGGTGAAATTACATGTCAAAAGCGCTTCGTTTTCTACAGATAACAGCCAAACACCAAGATTGCCAATTTTTACAGTATTTCTAACCACAAAATCTTTATCCCAAAATATCTCGATAACGCTCTTACAGATTTCGCTTAAACTTCACGAACATCGAGTCTGCTATTGGAGGAAAAAACTCCCGTAAATGATTTTTGAAGAACAGTTCCCAGTGCCGAGATATACTCTGCAAGTAAAATAGGTAATAGCGTCAGTTCGTTGCTATGACAACTCTGATGCCGTTGCAACCTTGATCATAACAAATTTTTATCTTCATCTAATACAACTGTGGTGGCAATTTTTCCAAAACTTTGTTTATGGCGACGTAGTTTATGCTCAAATTTGGGAGGTATTGGCCCTGAAAAACTGTATCGAGCCACCTTAATGAAAGGGTATGCCTTTTGACAACGCCGACGCGTGCCGAATGCTGTACGAGTTTTTAAGGCCTTTGAAAAGTACCTTGGTTCTCCTGGGCGATATTTTTCAGAAACGAGCTGTCAAAAATTTGAGAAAAATAATTTCATTTTCCGTCGCTTCTGTTCAAAAGAATCTTGCTTAAGGTGTTTTGATACAGTTTTTCAGAGGCGATACCGATATTTTTCAATCGCCTTAAAAGTGATTTTTTCCTTGTCCGATCGCTATAAAATTTTTACCAGTAATTGGCTATGGATTGAAATATGTGAAAATGTAGTTTTAAATAAAATCGATATTACTATGACAACAATAAACAAAAAACTTTGAAATTGATAAAAGCCAAATTTTGTGTGATCTAGACCTGCTACTGAAAATCCAACACTAGGAACTTAAGGTTTGGTGTTTAGCAAACAATATCCGTAAGAAGTAAAAAATTCTGTATGTTTGAATTCGACTAAAACGAAAA